CGGTAATAAGGGACACCCCTAAACACGCATTTGCAGTAGAACCTCAGTTAGCAAAGGCTCCAGTTACCAAAAAAATTGATTAACAACAAAGAATTTTGATTACATTTACCTCGCTCAGCAAAATAATTTTACTTATCGAAAAATTAATGTATCATTGATCATCACAAAATTGTGCATAGAATGTCACATATAGAATTGTGCACTGGGCATCATAGAATGAAAAGTAATTAACCTAAACTATGATTTATTTCTCCAAAACATATGATGGTTGTCACCAATACATTCCTTTCTGTTTAAGGTATATGTTTTTTATGATCTTTATTTTAGTGAATTCACTTAACCCAATTAAAATGGTGTGAAATTACAAGCCATCCTGTAAGCTTACAGATACTGAAGAAATGCTATATGGTGGCTGATATGAAGCTTCCTTTTCAAAAGTTTGCAGTGGACAAGGTTGTTGTAAATGCTCAATGGCATGTTCATGGATACAGTAATATCAAATCAATAATACGGTAATGAATGAATATGGTAATATCATATCAATAAAGTAAAAATTACAGAAAATGTCATTTATTCTACATCTACATCATCTTCAAAGGAAGAGGAAGACTTCAGAGTACTGTTAGTAATGGATGAGTACACTCTCTTCAAATGTTTTGAATTAAGTTTTATTGCAAGTGTCCCGGATTACTTCGTTCCCAGAGGTAATTCGGGACGCTATTATTTTGCATCTGGCACCTCACATAGGGCATATGGAATTTTTTGGAAATACCATTTCATAGCCCTCGCAAAGAGCTTTAAAATGAGTCCAAACTCGTTTCTGAAATGTTTCATTGTAAGAAGCTATGAACAAGAAAATCTCAAAACTGTCCCTTATAGACAGTATAACAGAACAGTTTAACAGTATAACAGAAAAATATCATAAAAAAATATTGGAAACAGGAAGGGATATTGTAGTGACAACCATCATATTTTTGGAGAAATGAATCATAGATTAGGTTAATTACCCCGTCAAACAGGGTAGTTAGGAATGGGTGGGGTAAATCAGGGCAGTCCTCCAGCAGGGCATAAAAATGTTATAGTAGCAAAACTAATTGAAATATGGCAAAACTAGAAATAGTGGCATAAACTTCAATATTTTTCCTATCTATGTAGCATAAAGGAAGTTGAGAAATCATACATTTACAAGCTCTAAAAAATGTTGAAATGTGATACCATCAACTGAAGTGATTTTGGCCACCAGGTGTGACTTCGGCCACCACTACAACAGAAACAAATGGCAGCAAAACAAAATAATAAATGTTGGCCAAAGTGACTAGGGTGACTTTGGCCACTGGGTGACTTTGGTCAGTGTTTATTATTTTGTTTTGCTGCCATTTGTTTGTTGTAGTGGTGGCCAAAGTCACCCTCAGTGGCCAAAATCAGCCCAGTTGATGGTACTCTGAAAAAGTACTCCTGCCAAGATGTGTAGTAAAGAAAATATTCACAATTAAAAAATTTTGCTTCAAAAAAAGTTGCAGATTGGTGTCGGCTTTAAAACTTCATCAATGGAATTTTCATGCCTCAATCCAAAACAAAAGGGTGGCTATTTCTGCACAACAGGGTAATAAGGAACAACCCCGGGGTTAAACGGGACACCCCTTAATGCGCATCTACAGTAGAACCTTGGTTAACAAAGGCTAATGGCCTGTGTTAACTTTGTTTTGTCATTAACAAAGGTTAATGAAAAAAATTTACTCGCAACAAAGAATTTTGATTACATTTACCTTGCTCAGTAAAAATTTAAAATTAATAAGTAATTAATGCATAATCAGTCAGCACAAAATTGTGCATAGAATGTCATAGATAGAATTGTGCACTGGGCAACATATAATTAAAAATGATTAACCTAAACAATTATTTATTTCTCCAAAAAATGTTATGGTTGTCACAAAAATATTTTTTTCAGGTATGTTTTTTTATGATTGTTTATAGTGAATTCATTTGACCGAATTAAAACTATGCAAAATTGCAATCCCACGCCTGTAAGCTTACAGATATAGAAAAAATGCTGTATGGCTGCTGATATGAAGCTTGCAGTGGACAAGTCAATGCTTAATGGCATGATAATGAACGCAGTAATATCACATCAATAATATGGTGATGTATGGATATGGTAATATCAAATCAGTTGAGGAAAAATAAGTAAAAATCACAGAAAATGTCATTTATTCTACATCTACATCATCTACAAAGGAAGATGAGGACTTCAGAGTACTGCTAGTAATAAATGAGTACCGTCAACCAGGGCTACTCAGGACAGTTTTGAGCATTTTTTTTTAATAACTGTTAATAACTTCTTATGATGAAACATAAGAACAACAAGTTTAGGCTCATTTTATAGCTCTTTGCAAGAGCCATCGAATGGCATTGTCAAAAAAATTCCATATGCTATTCGTAAGGTGCCAGAAGCAAAAAAGAAAAGAGTGTCCTGGGTAGCCCTGTCGAATGGGGCTACTTGGGACACTTGCAATAAAACTTCATTTTGAAATATTTGAAGAATGCAGAGTGTACTCATCCATTACTAACAGTCCTCTGAAGTCCTCCTCTTTCATTGTAGATGATGTAGAGGTAGAATAAATGACATTTTCTGTGATTTTTACTCGTTTTTCCTTTATTGATATGATATTACCAAAAAACATTAATTACCATCAACTGGGGTGACTTTGGACACATTTTTTATTTTGTTTTGCAAACAAAAATGGGGTCGTAAACGCCATGGTCATAAACGCCAGGGTTGTAAATGAGGTCATAAATGCCAGAGTGACTTTGGCCATTGTTTATGACCACACTTTGGCCATCATTATGAACATGGCTGAATCCCCCAGTTGAGGGTACCATATTATAGATGGGATATTACTGTATTATTGATGTGATATTACCATATCCATGAACATGCCATTGAGCATTTACAACAACCTTGTTCACTGCAAGCTTCATATCAGCAGCCTTATAGCATTTTTTTTTTTTGTATCTGTAAGCTTAGCTTACAGGACGGCATGTAATTTGTGTGACAATAAGTGAACTTTTTTTTGCTCAGCAAGGTAAATGTAATAAATATTCTTTGTTTTTAATCAATTTTTTTCTTAACTGGAGCCTTTGCTACCTGAGGTTCTACTGTAAAGGCGCTTTTGGAGGTGTCCCGAATAGCCCCGGGGGGGTGTCCCAAGTAGCCCCGCCATGCGGAAATGACCACCATTTTTTTTAACCATTTGGAACTGCCATTTGGAATAGGCAAAATCTGTCAATTACGTTTTCAATCCGACACCTGGGTGCAACTTTTATGCAAGTAAAATTTTTTAATACAGTGAATATTTTTTTTACTACAGACCTTAGTAGAAGTAACTTTTCAAAATATCGTTTTTCACCATTTTTTTCGAGAATTTTTCAAAGCTCGTGAATGTAGTATTTTTGAACTTCCTTTATACTACATAGAGAGGAAAAATGTTGACGTTTACGCCACTATATTTAGTTTTGCAATATTCCAATTAGTTTTTCTACTAAAACAGTTTTACGGCGTGTTGGAGGACTGTCCCAAGTTACCCCGCCCGTCCCGAGTAGCCCCAGTTGAAGGTATATTTTGCATGCTTCAAACATTTTAAAATTAAGTTTTATGTCACGTGTCCCAGATTGCCATGTTTCCAGGGGTAATTTGGGACACTTTCATTTTGCGTCTGGTAGCTTAGCATATGGAACTTTTGGAGATGCCATACAATAGCCCTTGCAAAGAGCCTTGAAATGAGCCCAAACTTGTTTATGAAATATTTCATGGTAAAAAGTTATCAATGAAAAACGCTCAAAGCCGTCCCTTATTACCCCGTTTGACGGTACTTGCTTGCTAAAGATCTGAAGAAAAAGTTTTCCTTCAAGACAACCATGTAAGCCCAGGTGCCTTATAATACTGAAATTAGTAAGGAACCATGAACTGCTGTGAGGTACATTAAGAGCAAGCATAAGTCATAGTAATGCAAGTAATAAAAGTAATAGGATATAAATAATTTAAGCAATGTAAAAAAACTGTTCTGATTTAGGAGAGCAGATACCAATCTGTGACTGCAGGCATACTTAACAAGGAAATACCTGTGGCTGCAATCCATTAAATGATCTCAATTGGCATAATATTACAATCATTACCGGTACCCTAAAAGAAATGAGGTCGATTCAATTGGACTGAAAAAAAAACAGACTGGGGAACAATTAATTGAAATATGTATGGGTTGGTTGAATGATAAAAGGTAGGTTTATATACCATCGAGCAATAATGTAGCTGTGTTAGAGGCTTTTTAGAACTGACAACATTAGATGGGAAAATGCTGCTTTTCACAGGAATTTAGTGGATACAAAGCAATACATTTTGTTTCCATTAAAAAAAAATTGCAGTAAAAACATTGCCCCCTAAAAAAATTGCTGTAAAAACATTGCCCAAAAAATTGTCATTTTAGTTTCAATTTATCTACGAGGTGGTACATTTTTAACCTGGTTGCTTAATTTTCCTTCATTAATATTGCAGAATTTTTTCTTGTTCATATAATTCACCATCAACTGGGGTGACTTTGGCCACACCTACAACAGAAACAAATGGCATCAAAACAAAATAATAAATGTTGGCCAAAGTCACTCTGGTGGCCAAAGTCACCCCCGGTGGCCAAAGTCACCCCCGGTGGTCAAAGTCACCCCAGTTGAGGTACTATGCATCAATAATGTAAACATATATACAATAAACAAATTGAATAACTACTTTCCAATAAACTTGGAATTCTTATTGAATAAATCAATATTTGATTGTTCCTAGTAATTTGCAAATTTGTGGTAAATTAGTTTTTAACTGTGCCGAAGAATATATTTTTAACATGTTGTTTTAACTGGATTGCGATTCAAATGATTATCCAATGTCCATACATAAATTTAAAGATGAATCAAGCATATTAATTGAGCGTTCTTTTCAATATTTTTAAAATTGAAAGCCTTGTTGGACTTTGAATGCAATATGTAATAATTTAAGCTACAATTCCTCACAGGACTTGAGACGAGACTCTCCAGTTTCACGATCAAGGCACTCTAGCCCTGCACCTAATGCCTTCACATCTGTAAGCAGCACACGAGACATTGCTAAGAGAGACCATCATGTACAGGTGAGATTTTTTAGTGTCATGTGTAGGTTAGACAACCTCGTGTCGTTGCTTTCTTGATTCAAGTTAAGTTTTGTTCTGCATTATATACATAATTGATGCTCCAGGTAGTGTTAGTAATGCATATTGCGTTAATTTAGTTTAGTTAGTTGTCAGTTTCTAGAACATGCAAATGTGTACTTTTTTAAAGTTGGTTAATTTGTGGGGTAAAATTCATTCAGAAGGAAGTACACAGATAATTGTAAATGTGTTGTTTTGATAGATATGCAAATTGAGTAGGTAAATTAACTGATGTCAAGAATTTTAGCTTAACTAAACAATATAATAAGTTCCAAATTGTTGATGAGCTTTCTTACTGAGATTTGAGGCCCAACAATGACCTCGGTCATTGTTGGGCCCCTGAAAGTTAGATCTAATACAGTGGTTTGGCCCAACCTTTCTGTGATTGACACTTGAAAATCCTGTACAGTATCTTCACACCTCCAGATGCTACTTCTACTACCAGAAGTACCATCTATAAGATGCTTATGAGTAGCATTTGTTACATTTTGCCATAACTGATGTGATAATTCATACATTATGTTACATTACCATTTCAATTTAATGGTGAACTGCTGCACCAGGAAGCTTCCATGAGAGAATAGTTTAAAGTTTTTGAAATATGCTAGGCAGTTACCATTTTTGCAAAGCAAAAAATAACTGATAATAAATTGTTATCTCCCCAAAAGAGTTTACAAGTAAGTGCCTGTAAGTTTCTTGCTAATGAATAGTGTCACATGTAACACGAGTAGAAAACCACTGCCATTACGTACTTATTATTTCTGTTGAATGCATGGCATCCTAATGATAGGATGACCCTGGGTTGTCTGTGGTGCCCAACAAGAGGATCCGTTTACCTGATGCAGCTCTGCCCATACCTCCTCACACGCCCTCCCCTACACCCTCACATAAGTCTGATGGCGGATCATCCAAGGGCGGCAGCAGACGATCAGATGAAAGTGACCTCGAGGCTGACATGAATGATATTGCCAATGAGATAACCAGTGGCATCAGCTGTACTGTCTGCAAGTCAGATACTATATTATCTATCAAACTTGAGTGACTATAAAATTTGAGCAACAATTCTTGGTGCTATGGTTAGCAACATTTGTGATGAGAAATCTTCCCCATGAGAATTTGTTTAGATGACAAATTTTCTTGCAATGCGCAAAAAAATTTCTTGTTTATGATGAGCATTGTCAGCTCCATGCTACCATTCTCGTGTATATAAAGTATTTATAGGTAGTTTAGTTCATGATTTCAACAGCTGGGTTGTTATAAATTTTTGTAATTTAAGTAGTTTTTTTACTCTGCAGGAAAATTTCGTTCTACTCAGTAAATCAGTTGGTGGAGTGCCAAGACTGTCACTTGATATATCATCAAGAGTGCCACAAGCCACCAGTGAGCAAGGCAGATATCACGGACCCACGGCGAGTCTGGTACTGCGCCAAGTGCACCCGCAACATGAGGAAGCAAGTGAGATTGTGTCAAAAGTCTACACCACTTCTCTCAGCTGGTGTGGTACTGCACCTGCAACATGAGTGTGTTGTTGAGGTCGTCAGTAGGGTGGAGTCAATTCAGTCAATTTCTATGTCAGTGTTTCTCAATCTTTTGGTATATTAAGTCTCAATCTTATTGCATTTTTAAAAAGCCACTTAATGCTTGTTATGGCATTCATTGATGACATTATCTACACTCACTATTCTCTCTCCCCTTATATGGAATGGGAGACAGCCAAAAAGAATGTAGAATGGGTGGGGGAACCTAGGCCGTCTAGAATATTTGAGGAGCCATCTCATTTATCTGAGTTACGGTTAGCTTGCAGTCACATGTGTGTAGCCACTTGTCATATTTTTTGAGCATGTTATTAAATAAATAATATAAAATATTTGAAATATTTTCACATTTGTGCATGTAATTGGAAATGCCTCCACAAAGTAGCTATAATTAATGTTGCTGTGTAGACTTTGCAAGGGCTAAAGAGGGATGCTATAGTTGAAATGAAATCAACAGGAATTTTATTCATCTTATACTGACAATCATCAAGTTTGTGAAGGAGTCTTCATACTATGACACACAAATTCTTCAGTAGATGTAGATACTCATCATTCTTTGTTGACAATCAAAAGTTCCAGAAGGAGGTAGTAAGTGACGTAGGGACAAGCCAAGCCAAAATAGCCAAAGTCAGACTCGGCTGCCATGGGCATGTTGCTGATAAAAAAGTGAGTTATGTGAGTACAAGCTACACCAAAACGCAGACAATTAAACTCAAGCCAGAGAAGTGCTAGCCTACAGGCCTTGATAAGTGCTAGTGGTGTGGGTACTAGCTGGACTAAAATGCTGCCAATATCTGGGACTCTCCAAGAACACCACCAGCCCCATAGCAGGATCTTGTGCTCACGCCTGGTTTAACCAAGCACCCTGTGGGTCAGATAAGCTTTTGAGATTTCAATTATGGCAGTGTCTCATTAGCCCAGGTCTGACTATCTGAATTCAACCTAAAAGTTTTGCACTCCACCTCCCCAGCTGAGAACTGGGACGATCGGTTTGCACTCACCCATTACCCAGCAGCCAACTGAGCTTGTCTGGATCAATTGCGTTTGAGCTAATGAGATGCTTGTCAATGCCCTATGACACTTGTTACTTAATCCCATGAATTAGCAAAATAATATATCATTCAAATTAAATTTCATGAATAAAAAAAAATATTAAACTAAAAGTGTATTCTGTCACATTTGTATGGAACATCTGTTACTTGATTTAGTGCAGTTCATTTTGATGACACACCTGTAGATTAGCTGAGCAAATCAAGTTGTGCAATTTGTATCTCGTAGTTACATGAAATTTATTGTTGCAAGACTGCTTGTAAAGAATATGTTACTGCCTATTTCCATCTTCACAGATAAATGGCTATGAATTGTTATAATATTCCTTATTGATAATGTTTTAGTTGTTTTTCATGAATAGTTTGAGCTGTTTACTATCCTCTTAAGGAATTAAAACATTTCACTGATAGCCTACTTGTAAATTGTCAAAAATAATGATTGCAACAAGAGCTGATGTCATGTCATGTATTTATCTAGAACAGCAGCAGCACTACTGGCAGCAACAGCAGCAGCTCAGTGAGCAGCAGCACGAGATCAGCAGGCAGCAGCAGCAGCAATAAGAGCAGCAGCAGCAGTGGCAGCAGCAGCAGCAATAAAAGCCACAGCAGCTCAGGGCGACACATTGCCTCCTCTCACGTGCCTTCACCGTCTAAACCAACCGGCCTTGGTCTGTTGTGTCGGGTCTAAGCATGGTCTGTTGTGTTGGGTCTAACTAAGCATGGTCTGTTGTGTTGGGTCTAAGCATGGTCTGTTAGGCCATGTTCAGTCACTATTTACCTTGTATGAGTGTCCCACAGCTGGGACGCTCTGTACCTTGTATGTGTCCCACAGCTGGGACGCTCTGTACCTTGTATGTGACCCACAGCTGGAACGCTCTGTACCTTGTATGTGTCCCACAGCTGGGACGCTCTGTACCTTGTATGTGTCCCACAGCTGGGACGTGGTACTCTTCATTGCACGGAACTCTCACAAAGCATAAATTTATGCTGCATGCAATACACTTGTGAATTAATGCGATAATTAGAGTCGTGAGCTTTGTAGTCGTTGGTTTTGTTGTTACGACTTGTTCTTATCTGAGGTTTGTGCATGAGAGAACCAATGTACTTGTCAAGATCCATTCTGAGACATTTTTCGTCGCTCTGTGTTTTTTAGTGTCCGGTTTAATTCACAACTTTCATTCGTTATGTTGGAAAGTTGTAATCTTTATTAAAAATAAGATAAAGTTACTGATTTGGATTCTGCCTGTATTAAACTGAACTGAAATTAAAAATGAGATAAAGTTAATGATTCTGCTTGCATTAAACCTAACTGAAGTGAGAAGCCAGTGATATTCGCCAAACACGTGATGAATGTTATTAATTATGTCGGCTTTTCAGGCGTGTCATCGAACTCTGTCGCCGTCCGTCCTTCTCCCTTCACCAACCTCGCCGCCGTCTCCACACGAGCCGCTCTTGGTGAGATCTTTTTTCTGTACATCTCCAATTACTTAATATTTATTCCCGCCATATTTAAATTAATTCCAATTGATCCTAATTGGATCAATAGTAAAGGCTACTGAAATTAAAAAGCAATTTAATGATAAAATTTCTCTAAAATTTAACGAAGGTAGTTGTGTAATTGAGACGTTAAAATAAATGTAGGTAAAGTAACATAATGGGACAGGCAGTTCCAGGGACAGTAACATAATGGGACAGGCAGTTCCAGCGACAGTAACATAATGGGACAGGCAGTTCCAGCGACAGTAACATAATGGGACAGGCAGTTCCAGCGACAGTAACATAATGGGACAGGCAGTTCCAGCGACAGTAACATAATGGGACAGGCAGTTCCAGCGACAGTAACATAATGGGACAGGCAGTTCCAGCGACAGTAACATAATGGGACAGGCAGNGCGTTGAGACGAGTTTGTTGGTTGAGGCGTTGAGACGAGTTTGTTGTGGCAGGCACAGAACGGACGGCGGGCGTGGGCTGCAGCGGCGGCGGCGGCGGTGGCGGTGGCGGTGGTGTGCTTCTGACGCGCAGCGACGGCAGCTGCAGCAAGCTAACGGCCGCCACGTCCACGGCTGCGCCCTCCAACTCAATGTTGTCCGCCGAGAAGCGCATGCAAATGATGAAGAAAAAAGCTGCTGCTAAAATGGCTGAGAGACGAAAAATGTAATGTGTTACAGAACGTGAAAACATTGCGCCGGTGCAAAGGAGCGGTATGGCTGTATCTAAAAATAAACGAATGACTTAGTATCTGGTCTGGGTTCGTTTGCAAAGTTACATTGAAAAAGGGAAAGTTGTCCAGAAAAGTGAAAGTTTGATTGCAGTAAACCATCTCGTTTCGACTGCTCATTTTTATGACGGCCAAGACGGGACGTGAGTTCGCCGTCTTTTGGAGAAGCGAATTAACAAGTTTAAGTCGCTTCCTGTTATCTTCTTTAATTTTGCTGTCAAGTTGCGGTAGTAGTTCGAGTATGAAGTCGTACAAGTTGTGATCATTAATGATCTCATGAGTTTCATTTAAGATGTTTTATTTCCCTCCGCCATTATCTGTTGCAACAAAGTCACCCTTGTTCATATCGTGTGAAGGTCTTTGCTCGCCAATTCTGAATATCGGAATTCTTTAATTGCTGGAAAAGGAAAAGTGTTCCTTAATATCGAATGTTATATTCATACATCAAGCTGGCAAACCTCCAACGGGCGCCTGTATTCTGAAGATTTCAGATCTAGGAAATGGAGCTTTTCTGGAAGTTGAGTGACTTTTTGTATTAAATGGCGTAAAATTGTAAATTATGAATTTAAAATATCATTTCGAGTGATAATATTTTTTAATCATATCTTGTAATCGGATTTATGAAAAGCAAATTTCAACATGACACGAAAGCGAAAATTTTGAAGTCGCTATAAAATTTCAGTGCGCCTAAGATATTTTTCCCATTATTGATCCATTTTTTACCTGTCAGGCTTGGGGCTGGTAATGTATAGGCGCTTATTCTGTCGGGACTATTACCTGGGATTATTTTTTTGCAGTGGCGGAAGTGTGAGACCTTGAAAAATAGACATGAGGTAAATATTCAGATGTAGAAGGGAGGTAAATATTCAGAAATAGAAGGGAGGTAAATATTCAGAAATAGAAGGGAGGTAATATTTAGAAATTGAAGCGAGTTAAATATTCAGAAACTGAAGGGAGGTAAATAGTCAGAAAAAAAGGACTGAGGTCAACGAGACTGCACTTGGGAATTTATTGTATAAAGTGCACGTAACGAATCTGCAACTCATGCTTAATCATGGACCTTCAGTGAAAGCCTAAGGTTTGGTGTAAGCGACGGGCTTGGGGGGGGGGGGGTAATACGGGTGTTGGATTTGGCAGTCAATGTCAACTGTCCACCGGCGGCAAGTGGTTCTGCATATTTTTCTCAACAATCGGCATGACGAAAATATTACTAAGAGTGATTGCGACATGGCGGCGTAGGCCGGTTTGTTTGATAAACAACTTGCTGGTCTCAAATCGTCAACGCCACGGAACGCTGCTTCAGATGATCTTGCGACTGTTATGCACCTGTTCCATTTTTTCGCTGATAGCTGTTGTGTTACCAGTTCTGGTGTTCTGGTACATAGAGAATAATTGGTCGTACCTAGACTCCATGTTCTTCTGCTTCATGACATTCACTACCATCGGACTTGGAGATTACGTACCAGGAGACCTATCATGGGAAAACCGATCCGCGTACTTGTTTTTCTTGAGTTTTCATTAACTTTTAAGCACGACAGCAGCGTTGCTAATGCTGGAGGTGCATCAATAAAAGTCACCATAGAATCTAATTCCTTCTACGCGAAGCAGATGACGCCACGCAGAAGTCCAGACCCGAGGACAAACAAAGCGAAATTGAGTGAAATTCGCTCCTAATAAAAAACTGACAACAAAAAATGACTGCAACACCAACGGCTCATATTTGACCTTTTTCCGAATTATTTATTGTGAGAAATTGTCATCAATCTTTGGCGTTTGATACAAATAAATTATTCAAGCTTCTGATAATACGATTCACTGTGTTATTCTCTCAAAGTTGTGTCATTTAGTCAGAATTGTCAGTAATTGTAACGAGCTTTCTTTTGTAATAAACTGATTTTATACAACTTTTTTATCCATTATTTGGCTTTTACAATTCATTTGGCTTCAAGAAACCACACGCAATTTGAGTTCATCAAGCGCTGAAGAAGTTCATAACTCCAGCGTGCAGGCGTCGCCTGAAGTAGAAACAGGAAAAATATAACTCAGTACTCACTGCAGATGACGAGCACAATTGGGCATTTTTTCCGTAAATGAGAAAATGCGCTGAGAAGTACACGAGAAGAAGCCTTCAACTCGCGAAGAGAAAGAAAATTCGGTCTCTGATGGCATCAAACACCCGCTTGCCGAGACAAGGTTGCGGTTTTTTCTCTGTGATCATGAGGGCAGATTCGTTCAAAATTGGATAACACTGCAACAAATACAGGTAATCATGTAAGAATAAAGTAAAGGTAATTGTTGAATCTTGAATTGTTCAACTGGATCTACCCGACCTCAGTTCGCAATTCCGGAGTTCACAACGAGTTAAAATAAACTCTTCTGGTTGGTCTGACTCAAAAAGATCTTGATATAATAATTAGTCGGTCGTCAAGGATACAAAACTGATTTACACTAGTTATTTTCTTTATTGCACTCAATCTTCAAGCTTCCCAAAAGTTGACCATCGAATTTATTAATGGCGCTGGCGCTAACAACGTTAAGTTTTGTCATTGTGAAAATAGATTTTGACTCGAAATAAGAGCTACGGGCGGTAAACTAGCAACGAAAACGCGCTGCACTCAAAAATTTAGAGCTCACAAATAAATATTGGGCTGCCAAAATATAAAACATAACTTCGACTCAACAAACTACAAAATACAAACAAGTTAAATATTACATCCTCCCAATAAATTATGAACATAACGTGAATAATTTACAATAACAATCTTAATTTCATAAATTAGCCTTCTCAATAAGCAAATGCCGTCCAAATGTCCGTCCTCATACCGTGGTTTTTCTCCTTTTTCGTCAGTTGCTTGATACTGTCTGATTAAGTAAAAGCCAGTTATTGAAAACACCTCCCCGTCTTCTGATTTTCGTTTCGAAAGAGGCGCCATCTCCACGTTATAGCTTCCTTCATGGCATTCTTCTTGTACTTCAGGTACTCTATAAATCGTATCCACCAGGCGACCATCCTCACATTTTTGTTATAGGAATTATAGTTGAGAGGACAGATTCTTGCTTCAGTTTTCACAACCATGTTAGCCTTCGTGACTTTTCGTTCCGAATTAACCTGTTCCTCATCTGTGGGTTTGTTGGATATGGGCCATTGATCACGAAATTTGAGCCAAGTTGGGCCCTCCCACTAGTTTGATGCTGCTAGTTCTTCATGACTGACTAAAATGGGAAAGTCGTATCAAAAGTGGACAAACTGTTTCAATTGTGTAGTACCTCAGATTTGTTATTGAATTGTTTAGTTGTCTCTTGTTTGATTTATATTTTTTTTTCTTTTATTGTCTGACCTTGTCAGTCTGACAAGTGTTGTTTGTAAGCTGATGGAATCTGTTGTGAGGGATAGGATTATCGATCACTTGACTGCTCACCAGCTCATATCAGATTGTCAACATGGTTTTATTACCGGCAGATCCTGCACCACTAACTTATTATCTACGTTGAACGATTGGACTCGCCTGCTGGACGAAAGAGAGCCAGTGGATGCATTGTACCTCGATTTTGCCAAAGCATTTGACAGTGTTCCGCATGAGCGGCTGTTGCGTAAAGTGAAGTCCTTGGGGATTGAGGGAAACGTACTCCGATGGATCAGAGATTTTCTAGTAGGTAGACGACAACGTGTCAGTATTAACGGAACCGTGTCAGACTGGGCATCAGTGCGCAGTGGCGTGCCACAAGGAAGCGTCCTGGGGCCTATTTTGTTCGTTGCTTTTTATAAATGATCTGCCAGAAGTAGTGTCCAGCGTGTGCTCCATGTATGCCGACGACACAAATTCAATTTTTAATGAAACACTATTTTGTAAAAAGTGTCAAATGGGCCCATTGCCCCACCCCTGGGGCAATGGGCCCATGGGCTTGGGGCAAGGCGCCCACCCTTGGTCCCTCTACCACAATTGCATATTTTTCGTTTAAAAATGATAAAACAACACTTTACAGTTAAAAATAATAAAAAGGTAATAAAAAAAATATGACATTCCTTCATTTATTAACAACTCAAAAAATCATATCCTTAACTTGAAAAAAAAATAAACTCTTGGCTTAAAAAATCTATTACTGACGTGAAAAAAAAATTTCATTGACATAAAATGTATATCCTTGACTAGAAAAAATATATTTAGTTATATGTAACATATATGTATAATGACCTGAAATAACATATATGTATATAATGACCTGAAAGTGGAAAGTTCCTGGCCTTTCCAAGCTTTCAGGTCCTGCTTTCTAAACTATCAAGTCTAATGGGTCTACGTAATTATTAGGCCTAACCATGTTAGACTATTAGATAGACGCTCCTAGATAGACCTAGAGTCCTAGACGTTCCCCTTAAGGGGAGCGTCTAGGGGCAACTTTTTTTTCGTCACACGACCAAAAAGTCTTAGAATTCCGTTTTACATAACGAAAATTTTATCTCGGTTATTTACAGACGGATCGATTCGGAATTTGGTACACGTATGTAAAACGGAATTCTAAGACTTTTTTTCCTGTGAATTTTTCGAAAAAAAATGAAAGAAAACGTAAAATTCTTAGAAAACGGCCAAAAAGGGGATACTTTAGAAATCCTATCTCCTCCTAGGATCTTTAAGTTACAACATCGAGACACATATCATTCGATGCGTAAAGACCATATCTAAAAACGCCACTTGGCGTTTTTTTTTTCATTTCTTATTTTTGTGGGTGTGGGAGCATTTTTTCCGATATTTTTCGAAATTTTTCGATTTACCCCCGCCCACCCCCACTTTTTGCAAAATAAAATCCGAACTATAACGAAATTGGAGAAGCGACCAAGTAACGTTTGTAGATCTTTCCTTTCCAAATCGAATGGTATATGTCTTATTGATGTAGCTTCAAAACTGTAGGAGGAGATAGGATTGCCGTGAGAGAGGTTTTCAGCTTTGGCAACTTTTCAGTAGAGGCAAAAAACCCCCGCGCGGCACGTAAAGGCACGTAACGTAGCCTAGATACCAAAAGTAAGCATCAACTCACTACAAAGTCAGTCATCGGTACATGGAGCCACTAAATGAACACCATCCCGCGTACTGTCTGTGAGGTTACTGAGCTCTAGCCGAGTGAAGAGCACATTTTATAGTTAATTTCCCCCTTTGGAATTACTGAAGGCCCCCACCCCCTTCCCCCCTTGCGGGATCTGTCGTGAACGCATAAATCAACGTACAGAGATGGTTCTAGTACCGTTCGATGCGGCAGAAAGTAAGCTTTAAGATGAGTATAAGAACTGGAGAA